TTGTTGAATTATCTTCTGATAATTAACATTTGTTGATGTGAAGATGATAGATAAGGAAACGATGTTTCAAATAATTACTTCGAAACGGAAACACGTCGCATACTCCTCGCTAATGATTTCAGTTCTTGCACGAGAGTATTCACCAGCATATCGTTATCCTCATCTTCTGCCGCTGCACTTTCTGGTTCGATGAATCTGAAAGTGATCTCTTATGATCTCTAAACACCTCGAATAAACGATGCTTAGAAACAGAGAACATGCACTGAGACATATGGACGTTTAGCATTTTTGAGACGGTAAAATCCAACAATGCAAGATCACCAATCTTTTGCTTAACCGAATGAAAAATTGCAGTGATTTTTTTTTGGAGGGGGGGGGGGGTTAAGTTTCTGTTGCTAGTAAATCAAGGATGTTCACACACAATGAAGTTAGGTCCGAAACAGAGGCATTTCCGAAAATTCTCAAGGCATTTAGCATCGCCGCAAATGAATCTTATGGTCGTAGAGGTAGTTCCTTCAATCACTGAAAATCCCCGTTCCATGACCCCCTCCCTTCTCAAAAAATAAGAAATCGCCTACGATATTTGCTGTGCGATTTCTCGCATTTCTTGCGAGATTGCATTGATTTGTGCTGTGGTCGCTGGCTCATCGTGGATACCAACACCGCCACATTCGTCAACGATACTGTCGGCGATTATACCAGAGCACATCATTTTCAGTACGGGTAATTCATTCGCTTCGGCTATCAATAACATTTTCTTGACGAACGTCAAATCTTCGTTAGACTGAAATCCGATCGATTCACTCAGCTTTTGACCGACACAACCAATTGCTTCATTCGGGTGCAGAAGAATTTTGCTAACCGATGTGAAATTAGATTTTAGATTATCTGTGGGTTTATTATTAGCTACGTACGTACGTCATTATTCGTATTCTAGAATTCTGGAAACTGAACATCGGTTAGTTTACTTCTCTCATTGAATCAGCCGGGTAAAATCTAGTAGAGATGAGAATTCTTTCTGAATGAGCGAGCGAGCAAATGAGCAAAATATTTAGTAACTATTTGCATTTTTAAATTCATTTTGCAAAAGTCGCATGGTCACATACTTTGTAACAAATATTGTTCAACTGAGTGTTTGAATGTATTTTAGTCTGACGATAATTCATAACTAATCAATTTGTAGGTATTTTGTCAGCATTTGTAAGTTAGACAAACTGGTTGCGGAAAGGACTAGAAATTATTGAGGAATGGATGGTATCGTGGTGTTAATTTTTGGTTTGTTTTCGCCAAACCATATGCTGAATAAACTCTGATCAGACGTGATATGATTAATGCGTTTTGTCTGCGCTATTTTCGCCGTAACGCTGTGTTATTGTTTACGATCGCTTTTATCGCTTATTGTAAATTGCATCTATTTGGTTGTGAATAATCTTGTTGGATTAGAGCAGAAAACGCTGTCTGCTCGAATCAACAAAATAAATCATCAATTTTCAAAAAGATTTTCGGCATAGAACCGAATGAACAACAAAAGTTCAGTGATGTGAAATGAACAAAAAATACTTTTGTAATTGTTCGACAAATATATCGTTCAATTTCTCTGGTCAACGGTGAGATATTGTGAGAACGAGATGCACCAATCACTTCCATTATATCCTCAAAATATTCGATGTCTGGCAAAACGCAGTGCATAAAATAGATGTGCGTAAATACCTGGAAAACAAATTTATTCACTTATGCATAATTTTGAATTGTAATAAGCAACTGTGTTATCATTCTGATATTGTCGTTACTATGAGTGTTTTGAGGACGATAATTTATAACTCATCGATTCATTCATTCAGCAGGTGAACAGCACAAACTGCTGCCTCCACGTCAGTTTTGTTTGATCGCCAACTGAGTTCCATGATGACTACTACGTCAGTCACACTTATTGTTATGACATTTTCAAGCAAATTACTGGCACCGATTGCTATTCAATTAATTATTTTGATTGTTTCCAAGAGAAAATGCGTCGAAACATAAAGATAAAAATTCAGTCAGTATTATACTTTCAAAAGAAGTGACACAGCAAGTATTTGAAAAATGGAGAAAACGAAAAGAAACGAACATTTTGAATGTGTTTCCGTGGCCATTTGTAATCGGTACGAGCGTTTACCTCGTCACATCCATGCGTTATTATCAACTCATGAACTGCGAACATGTCCATCTCAAAAGAAAAATTTCTTGATTAATTTTAAGGCGATTCGTAAGAGTCCCAAAAATATCACTCAAATTCCAAAGAGCAAAGAGTGTTTTGGTTTGTTAACTGGCTAAATCTATCAATTGTGCCAAAAACTTTTCAAAACGCATCAATCATCATTCACATTCACTCAATCAGCTGTTATGATCGTTTCGTTTGATGGAATAATCGTAAAAAAACAAGACAACGTCGTTGGAAGCGTATCGATCATTCTGATGCTGTCAATCAACAAAAAACTTATAAACATTGTCATTCCAACGATGCAATACGGAGTGCGGTTTTTTGTTAGAGAATTTAGCAAGAGTCACTGATCAAAATTTTTTTGCACTTCAGATTCGAATAATTTTTTTCACTTTTTCACTTCAGACTCGAATTTCAGCTTTTTTTCGTCAGCAGAAATGCGAAAGAAAACGTAGGAATCAAAGAAATGAGCGCATAAAAGACGGGCTCAATTGTGGCGGCTATCAATATAAAATCTATCAATTTTACCAAAAACTTTTCAGATAGAGGCTAAAAAGAGCTATTTGCTTGCACTTTTTGAAGGATCTTGCAGGTTTGCACAGTTTGGATTTTTTTTCCAAATCGTCATAGAAAAAAGTTTTCGTCAATCATGCACTTATCAATCGTTTTCAATCGAGTCACACAACAGCTGCCAATATCACGCGAGTATATAACAAATTTTGTTTGAAAAACATTTTCCAGCCTTCAACGAATAATCCATACTTTGAGTTTTGCAAAATTTGAAATTCAGCTTTTCTTTCTGTGATATGCGAAAAAAGCCAGAATTATTGAGTTCATATTTCGCTCTTGTAAATACATTCTTTGAACAACGAAATTGAGCACGACGATGAAACTAAACACCGAAATGTTGTTATACGAACTTCAGGATCATGTAGGAGGGTTTCGAGTTCGGGCACGATTTGATGATCCTGTTTGACGTCCTCAAGAAATTGCACACAAGCATCTTCCAGCTTCTTGTTCGCACCATCGACATTCGGTAAGTACAGCATCGGTGAGAAAATACTCGTTTTCATCCTGGTTTCATAGTTTATCTTTATAGCTGAATGCCAATTTTTCGTTTAGTTTAGTCTTTACGACTCAAGCCAATTCCACTTTTTGCTATCTCAACGCTGAGCTCAGTGAACTTTTGCGGTTGTGAAATACTTTACAGAAATAGGATTGGTTGATATTTCCACGCATCAAATCGCACACATTCGTTAAATCAAACTGGATGGCAGATTTTCGATTACGCTGTGGCCAACTGACCAATCCGGCTATGAGCGATTCATAAATGTGCAAATGCGAGCATATAACATGTTCACAAAAAAGCGATCTGAATGCGAATTTGCAAATTCACTTATTGTTAGACCAAAAACCGCAGCTAGATCTTAAAATCCATAAGAGAACTCCAAAAACTCGATGAAATCTCATTGTGTAATGTCATTTGCCGACCCCCGATGTGACTTTCAACTCATTATCAAACTATTTTCACCGCTAATAATTTTTCAAAGAAAGCAGCAATCGCTTTGTCAATTGATTATTCACTATGTAAACTGTTTTGTAAAATGACATATTGACAGTTACAAACCGACTAATTACTCATCATCAATGTTTACCAATGGTACCACATTGTCTGAATAAACAGATTAACTATCAACTGATCAACTGAACTTTGTGCGATAATAACGAATCCTCCGTCAACGTTTGTTAATCTGGGCAAGATTACCTTGTGATGACTAATGAATGTGTAACGACAAAAACTTATTTTTTGTTCACAAATATTTGGATTATTGATAGAATGAATGAGATCGATCACTAACTTGATATCGACAGTAATTCGGATCATATTTCCGATATTTTCATGAATAAACTCATTCAGATCATTTTGATGCTCATTTTCAACATCCACACACCAACCACTACCTCGCGTCCATTCATCTGCTAAGAAGTGAAGAGTTGGCAATTTATTATTTCCATCTGAATCCGCTAGTTGAATTCTGAAATTTTTCATATTTCATGACGACCATTCAGATGATTTTCAAATTTCGGTAAAATTACATTGATCAAGATGAACATTATGATGCACTGATCAATTTGAAAAACATATGATCAGACATAAGCACTATTGATCTGTTCGATTGTTACACTTACAATTAGTTTACCAATTCCTTCGATCTACTATGATCTGATTTCGACAGATGAATTCAATGAACCGATCAATGAATTTTATCAGAAAGAAATCTCAATGATTATGCGAAGAGTTTAAGAATCAACATCGAGTCTGTTGTGAAATTGAATTGAAAATCTTTTTAAAAAGAAATGATATGATAGAAACGAACTTGGCTTCAACCAAATGCACATCAGGTGTGGGTCCATCTTTATAATAAAGTGATATGGTGATATTACTCGTACTATCTTCATAATAATAATCCGATGCAGTACAATCGTCACTCACTTTCAACGCCCAAGTAAACTGAACACCATCAAGAGCCGTACTGAACGGTGGCGATACATTCAACACTAACTCGTCATTTTGACTAACACGCCTTAAACGACAAACGAATGTTTTATCATAATCTGACATTAGTCTTACAGCAATTAAGCATGATCAAAAATACTAGCAATTCACCTTCTGAAAGATATTCAAAAAAGGGCCAAGGAATGGAAATTTGAAAAAAAAAACTGTTCGTCAGCTATTTCCTCAGAAAAAACAACACAAACATTTACAATATTACAATATTCGATCACATTTGTGGCGAGAATTCACAAATGTTGTTTGTGATCATTTCTTCGAGTGAAACGAAAAAAAAATCGCATTAACATGAGTGTTAAACATTCAACATTTCTCTTTCAACACAAATGCCACAAACGAAAAAATCGCCTTGTTCACGGAATAGCGATCGCA